TAATCGACGAAAATTTGGGCGAAAATGTTAATAATATGAATTCATTCCTTGGGTGAAGTTGTTTCTCAGTTCCAAAAAATTTTGTTTATTCGTTTTGTAGTCTAGGGATTTATTGGTTTTTAAAACCTGGTAGTTGTATCTTGTAATATTTTTTGATACTGGAAAATTTTGATTGGAAGAAGGTTGAATTTGGTTTTGGAGTAAGGACTTCTAGAGCAGAAAATTGGGGGAAGATTTTATGTATTAATGATGTATGAAAATTACTTTTTGGTTAACATTGTCTGATTGCTTTGTATGTGTCAATTTGGCTCATTATTTGCTCACAATCTGCGCTTGTTTGTTAAAGTAAGAGGAAAAACAGTGAAATTTCTGTTATTTTATGTGTATATTGACTAATATTTCTTGTAATATACGTTTGTGGAATGTAACAAATGTTTTAGTGAAAGTCTTCATCTCTATTTTTGATCACTGTGGTTTACAGATACTTTTTTTCTCGAAACTGACATCGCTTTTGTTTTTTCTTTTCACAATACCTGTAGCATATGAGACTAAGATTGAGATTAATAATTAGGGCGAGAGAGAGTCAAAAGTGTTATTTTGCGGCATCTTTAGTTGTGAAAGCCCAGATCATCAAACTTTTTCTATCGTTTTTTTCATAGTTCAATTGTAAGTAACAAAGCGAATACTGTTTTTGCTAATCCATTAATGGACAGGCATTACATTGTTGACAATTGTTTTTTGTTGTTTTATAGGAGTCAAAAAAAGGACTCATCGGTCGAATACGTGTCGTAGTTGTTCGTCGGTTTGTTTTTTCTACCTTTTTATTTTTCTTTTTTTCTTATACAACTTAATAATTATTAGTAGATGAGGTAGAGCAGAGAAGAAGTAAATAGATAAGTTAATGGAAATAAACAGTTGAAGTACTATGGGAAGGAGCTATTTTTTCACGGGCTTTTCTTGTTTTAAATTTCTTACAGTTTTTTGTAATTCTCGTCTACGAGGTCTTTTTTCTCTACTACCATTTTCTTTGTTTTTTGTTTTTTGTTTATTTTTTATTTATTTCTTCTATAAATTCATCTGTAGTTCTGCTGAAAGGAGTTTTACATATAGTCTTCCACAATAAATACTGTCTTCAATAACTTGTTTTACTTACTTTTTTTCTGACTGGAATGCAGAATTGCAAATAAGTTTTTTATTTGTTTTTTTTACTTTACTTTTTATTTTTTTTGGTTTCTGTTTGTTCCTTCAAGTGACATTGTGTGTTTTTTTCCATAACGTTGTGTATTACCTTGTTTTCGCCATGTTTACTTGCCATGCGATGAATTGTATTTGAATATATTTATTTATTGTGAACAGATCTTCAGTTTTACTACTGTGTTTTTTCTTTCTTTTTTTTCGTTATTTTTTTTTATTCTTCATTCAATACCAACTAGACAGTAATTGAATGGATAGATGGATAGTTTAGATAGACCGATAGTAGATGGATAGATAGACGGATGGATGAATGAATGGAAACAGTTTTGGATTTGCAGTTGAAGAAACGAGAAACAAAATATGCAGTGAAGCAAACGACTACGCTTCGAAGGGAATTGAGGGGGAATGTTAATGTATAGCATATTGATGAAGGAAGAAGAAAAGAAAATCAAAGAAAAATTTGATTAAAGTGACTTCGAATGACAATAATAACAGATGTAATTTAAGAAGAAAAACGGTAAATAAGTTTTAACAAAGATCGAGAACCGATTATATAAAGGGACGACGCATCAGTGTAATTGTATTGAACAAAGATTAGGTTGGAAACGACAATAAGAATTTGGGCGTAGGATTAGGGGGGTGGAAGCTAGAAACCAAAACGAGATTCAAATAAGTGCAAGGAGAAGGAGCAAAAAAAATAAGAGGGGAACGAGTGCAAGATTGTTGGTTGAGCCTTTGTGATAGGATGTTTTTTGTGTCTTTGATGGTGGTGGTGTTGATGATGACTAGCGATGACGATGATAGTTACAGTTACCAGTGTTCAAAATTAACTAGCGGAATGGGCATGTTAAAAACAGAACAAAGTAAGGGAAAACAGCCGAAAAGAAAGCTGAAAGACGGCAAACATTTTTTTGAAAAATTGAAGGGGGGAGGTGTAAAGGGAGGGGGAAGGGGAGAGGGTACAAGGTACCACAATAATCACTGCAATGCAAAAAAAAAAGTATTGTAAAAAAGTAAATGTGTATAGTAAGACCAGACTTATATGTATGTACATTAGTGATGTATGCATTATCGAGCTTTTTTTTTTACTACTATTTTGGAAGAAAGAACCGAGGTGGCGAGGAGGAATGAAAAGGGTGGAAAAAAACTGTTCCGTGGAACAATTGATTTCATTGATTTTTCTTAAAATGAACAAGTTTTTTTTCTCATTTTTTCTTTCTTCTTTTTCTAGTTAATTGTTTGGATTGATAGATTTGTCGCTGCTGTTGCTGGTTTTGTTACTGTTTTTGAAGTTTTGCTCTTTTTTCCTTTGCAATTTCTTCGACTTTTATTTTTAATATTCAACAGCAACAGCAGCGACAGCAACAGAAAGGGCAGCATTTTCAGGTTTTCTCCTTTGAGGTGAATGAATTTCTTTTCCGTAGAAATTTTTGATGATACAACATTTATGGTAATAGAAGAGTTATATTGATGTATATGCATGTGCAAATGTCTGCGTATGTGTGTATGTGTGTGTGTGTGTGTGTGTGTGTGTGTGTG